CGCGCCGCGGCCCGCACCGCTCGCCGCCCCCGCGCTGCAGCGGGAGCTCCTCCTGCGCGTGGACGTGCCGCCGGGGGTGTTTGCCGGCAAGGCCGGCGACGCTGCCACGGCCCTGGAGCTCCGCATCGTCAACAGGTGTGGGGTCCGAGCGCAGTGGGTGGTGTGTTGGCGAGGGGCGGGTGGGTGGTGGCTGGTATCTTGTGAGCGGCATGAGCCAATCGGGCATCTCCTTCCTGCATGCCCCGGAGCTCAGTCTGGGAGAGTCGAGGCCCCGGGCGGCTTGCCTGGGGTGCAAGGATGCCATCGCCCTCCATCGATGCCTTCATGCCACGGTGTCCCGCCCCACCTCAAGAAACGCCCGCCCCCCTCCCTCCAGGCCCTGATCGGCGTCTGTCCAGCTGCAGCGCTGCGCCGCTCCTGGCGCCGCGAATGCGACGACCCAGCCGCGCTGCGTGCTGTGGACCGACACGCTGCCCTGCGGCGTGACCTGCGCGGCCGCCACGCCCGCCCTCTCCGCGCTGGGCCTGCAGGACGGCAGCCTGCTGGTGTACAGCCCCGCCGGGCGGCGCCTGGCGGGCCCGCTGCAGCTGGGCGCCGGAGTCACGCGCCTGGCCGCGCGCGGCGCGCGCCTGCTCTCGCTCACCACCTCCGGCGTGGCGCAGTTGTGGGTGCTGGGGGCCCGAGGGGCCCCCGCTCCCTCCTCCGCGCCGGCCTGGCCTGCCTGCTGGAGGGCGGCGCCCGCCTGGCGGGCCTGACGCTGTCGGCCGCGGGGGCGCCGGTGGCCACGCTCTCCGACGGCGCCGCCTACGTCTACGCGCCCGGGCTGGACGCCTGGACGCGCGCCGCCGAGGCCGGCGTCGGCGCCTCCGCCCACCGCCCCGGGCCACTGCTGGCGGGGGCGGGGGAGCTGGAGCGCATGCAGGCCGAGGCGCTGGCGGCGGGCGCCGGGGCCGCGCCCGCGCGCGCCCTGGCCGCGCACCGTGGCGACGCCGCCGCCACGCGCGCGCACCTGGAGGCCTCCCTCGCGGCTGCCCTGGCCCTGCGCTCGGCGGAGGAGTACCGCAGCTGGCTCCTCAAGTACGCCGGCTTCCTGGCAGGTGCGAGGGGGTTAGGGGGGCAAGGGGTGGAAGTCCCATGGCTCAGGCGCATCTCCTCGATGTAGCGTTGTGCACCGGGGATGCTCCCTCCGTGGCATCCGTGGCAGGGCGGCATCTTGCGGTCTGGTGCCACGCTGGATGGTGCATGCACATCCTGCACACCGAGCACTCCCCTCCCCTCACATGCTCCCTCCCCTCACATGCTCCCTCCCCTCACATGCTCCCTCCCCTCACATGCTCCCTCCCCTCACATGCTCCCTTTCCACACGCAGAAGCACGGGACGAGACGCGTCTGCACGAGCTCTGCTCCGACCTCCTGGGCCCGCCGGGGCCTGCCAGTCGGGGCGCCCCGCCCACCGGTGCCATGGACGGTGTCGCCGACCCGGCATCATCCCAGGGCTGGGAGCCGCGGGTGCTGGGGCTGGACAAGCGGGATCTGTTGCGCTCCGCCCTCCTGCCGGCCATCGCCAGGAACCGCGAGCTGCAGTCCCTGGCGGCCCGCTTCAGGGATGCCCTGGACGACCTGCAGCAGCTGTCCTGACGTGTGGTGTGTGCATGGTACTGCATTGTTGCTTACATCATGCATGACAAGCATGTGCACGCTGAGGCTGGAGGCCCATGCTGGGGCACGGCTGAGAATGAAGGGTGCCCAGAGCGCCATACAAGCAATCAAGGTGCGGATGCTGCACGGCAGGTTCAGCGCTCGTCTCTGATGGAGGCCGGCAGGCGGGGCAACCATCGTGCCGGTGTGTCACGCAGTGCTCTGTGAGGTTGTGCTGCGTGCCTCCCTGAGCGACCTCGAGCCTCGCCCGATGCCCCGGCGACGCACGCCACCCCCCCGCCCCCCCCCGCCGCTCACGTCACGTCAGCTGGACGCCGGCCCTGGAGGCCAGGGACGCGAGCTTGGCCTGGTGGTCCGCGGAGACGTGCGCCGCCACGAGCGCGGGCACGGTCCCCGGCGCTGCTGCGCCACGCTTTGCCAGGCTGGCGGCCAGGAAGACGCCAGCGTCCTTGATGCCGGGGAGTGGGTCGGGTTCGACTCTGCAGAGCGATGAGAGGTTGGGTTTGGAATGGATTGAGGGTGGGGGATGCAGGACCTCATTGCACCAGCATGGCACGACGACGGGACTCCCGCAATCGCAGGATGACCTGCGGCGACTGAGACCACATGCCCTCCCCACCTCTGCGCATTGTGCAGCTTTGCAAAGGCGGCCGAGTAGCCGCCGGCGCCCACGCCCGCCTCCTCGTCGCCGGCCTCGTCGCCTGCGGTGGCGATGTCGACAGGCTGAACTCGATCACCCTCATTCACCATGAGCTGGACCACGCCGGGGCACACAGGTGGCGATCGCTGCCTGCCTCCCACACTGTCTCCACCCGTCCTCATTCCCCCCTTCCTCCACTTTCCCAGCTGTACCGGAGGCGCCGGCACTGCTGCTGGTGCCATCCAGGAGCCGGAGGAGGGCGTCCAGGAGCTTGCCCGCGACGCCCTGGTTCTCCTGGGCCTGCAGCTGCGGCGCCTCCACGATCAGCTTGGTGATCCCCACCACCACCAGCTTCTCCTCCCACTGCCCGCTCACATTCGCTAGATTTGGGGCGATGACCTGGTCGGTTGAGGAGGGGTTGAGGGGTCTCAGATTGCGACAGGGTGCGCTGTGCAAGGGAAGGCTGGGCTGTCGTGCAGGACAAGGGGGTCCGAGGTGAGCTGCACACCTTTCCCTGGCACACCCTCCTCCCCAACCTCTGGCCCAGAGCCCCTAACCCTTCACCCTTTGCCCCCACACACGTGCATCGAGAGGGGCACGCCTTCCTGACGACAGTCCATCGCCCCTGCCCTCCCCACTCTCCTCCCCAGTACATCACCCAACCCACGGTGTCCAGGATCATGAGGCCGATCCCCGCCTGCACCGCCTCCAGCGCCTGCATCAGCTCCCCCGGCCCATGCAGCGCAGCAAAGGCGGCGGTGAAGACGACGAAGCCACGCACAAACTTGGCGGTGCGCGCGGCCTGCAGGCGCTGGAAGAGCAGGGTCCAGACGTGGGGCGTGTAGGGTGCCAGCGCGGTCAGCGGCACGCCGCCGCAGTACAGCGCATCCAGCAGGAGGAAGCCCTCGTGGTCCAGCGCGCGCGAGGCGACCAGCTTCTGGAAGATGCCCAGGACGGCGGGGAGGTGGCCGCCGGCGACGACCTGGGCGGGGGAGGCTGCGAGGTAGGCCCGCACCAGGCGGACCAGTGCAGGGGTGTTCCCGGACCGCTCCCAGAAGGTGGCAGAGAGGAGCGGCGGGAAGAGGGCCACGTAGGAGGGGGGAAGCGGCGTGCCGGGCTCCCGCGTCTCCAGCAGCTGGGCAAAGACTTGGAAGATGTAGGGGTGGAACTCCTGTGTTGTATGTGGGTCAGTGGAGAGGGATTCTGATTGCAAGTAGGAGCGGAGGCCGCCTTGTCAGGCTGGTAGGCCTGTGGATGGGGTCCATGCCAGCTCTTCAAAGAAGCCCCAAAGGGCTACAGGAGGGTCCATGCCCCTTCTCAAGAAGCATCAGCAGGCATGGAATCCATGTATCCTTCACAACACGGCTGCGTCCCCTGAGGCATGCCAAGCCGGTGCTTTGCTCCCCACCCTGTCACCACATTGATACTTCCAAACCCAACACCGATGAAACCCCGATCCCCACCTGGACATCCTCCTGCAGGACTATTTGGAAAGGGGGGAACAGCATCTCCTCGAATTTGGCCACGGAGGCGGGGTCCCGGGGGCAGCAGAAGCGGACGAGGGCGGCCACCGACTCGAAGAGGTAGTGGTTGAATCCGGGCTGGGTGGGGTTCTTGCACACCGCCAGCAGGAGCTGGGACAGCTGCTGCAGGCAGACGGGTGCCACGGGCGCGATGGTCGGGCCTGGTGGTGGGAGGGGGAGGGTGGTGGGAGTGGGGATGCCGATGAGGGATGGGAAAACGACTGAGCGGAGATGCAAAACTACCTGGCTTCCCGCACAGCATGAGGGGTGTCCGCAGCAGCATTTGAGATGATTGCTGCTCCTTCACCGCATTCTTCCTTCCCCTTCGGGGGCAACAGGGGAATCTCCACTCTCCGCCCCTCCTCCCCCTCTCGCCCCCCCCTCCCCTCGCCCCTCCATGCCCCCGCTCACCCACAAACGCGATGACGCGCATGACGGCCTTCATGACATACTCGTTCTCCGAGGAATCAGGGAGGGCGAAGCAGGCGAAGAGGCGCTCCAGCAGGCCCTGCAGGCACCCCGCCAGCTCCTGGGGCTGGAAGCGCAGGGCGCCGCCCTCGCGCTGACTCAGCAGCTTGTCCACGGCGATGGCGGCGTAGGAGTGCACCACATTGGACTCGCTTGCCAAGAGGCTGGGACGGGGAGGTGGCGGGAAGGTGGGATTGGGATTCGAAGGGCGGGAGGGATGGGCAGGGATGGGGGGTTCCAGGGTAGAAGGCTTCCTCATCCTGGACAGATCACGGCTGACGCAGTACAAGGGGGAGTCTGCAGTGCATGGCGGCATGCCGAGAGCCATTTGCGTTCCTCAACACTTTCCCTCCACCAGATCATCCAGCATTCAAGATATAAAGACATACTTACTCCCCCAGACTATGGAACTCAGTCGCTGCAGCCCCCCACCCCCCCCGCGCGCACTTGACGAGGTGTGGGAAGGTGGCCAGGGCGGTGGCCTTGGGCAGCTGTGACCGGAAGGTGGTTGCAAACTTGAGAGCATCCGCCTTGAGCACGGGGAGGTCATTCACATCAGCCGCGGCCAGCTCCGGGGCGATATGCTGCCGGGTGGGTGGGGCGGGGGTGGGAAGGAGATGGATGACGCTGGGAGGCAGACTCCTACTCTGGCCCACCTCTACAAAAAGCTAGACAATCACCCCTCTGGCCTCCCACCCCAACCCCCCCAAAAAAACTCCAACACCCCCTCTGCCCCCTGCTTCCCCCCAAAACCTGTGCATAAAAGTCCTGGAGGTTTACCAGGTCGTTGGTGGAGGTCGCGCCTGCGCTGGCCGTCTTACCGCGCAGCGTCAGCGCCGCCACGAGGTAGATGGCGCAGTCCTTGGCCTTCCAGCGGGCCGCCCGCCCTGTGCCGCCGGCCTCCGCCAGCATGGATGCAACGTAGCCGGAGAAGAGCTCGGTGGTCTGGGCCGGGTAACGCGCCGTCAGCGCCTTGACCAGCTCCGAGGCCGCGCGGCGCCGGGTGTCGCTGTCGCTGCCCTCCGTGTCGCGGCGGACGTACTCCACCCAGTTCATCTCGAACAGCTCCTCCTAGGGTTATAATTGGGGTTTTGGTGTGTGAGCGTGGGGACAGCTTTGGAACTTTTCACATGGGGTTGAAAGGCGTCCAGTCACTGTGGAGGCGAGCGGCGCCTGGCTGAAGGTGCTAGCAGGCCCACTCAGGTTCCCATGGCTCCACTCACACAGTCCATCTTCATGTATACCGTTCTCTACGGTCCAATCCCCCCAGGCGCCACTTTCCCTATCCCAGGTGTCTGAAATCCCAGCCGCCACACACAGCCACATAGCAGCCTCTCCACCTGATTTTTCCATCCCCACACCCCAACCCACCATGTCTTCCCGGATGCGGAGGTTGGGGATGACAATGGATTCGCAGACCTGTCGTAGCACGGCTGGGTCCTGGAAAAGGGAGTGGTGCACAGACCCCGCCACGGCCGTCAGGAAGTTGATGGCATGTAGGGCCAGGTTGTCCTACAGGGGAGATGGGAGGACGGGGGGGAACAATGCTCAGTCGTGGAGCTGGGAAGGGAAAGATGTTGGCATGGGCCAGCCAACTACTATTGGCAGAGCTCGACTACTCTTCGGTTGTGAAGGGGAGGCAAGCACACGTGCACGCGCGCACTGCCGGATGAACAGTGCAATGCCCTCCACCCTCCAGCCCACAGAGCATGCATGCAATCACCCCGCCCACCAACCACCAAGGAAACCTGCCTGTCCGGGGTTCTGGGAAACGGAGAAGAGCAGGGTCCACACGTCCTGCACAAAGGTCTGCAGGAACTTGGCAAACTCCTCCTCGTTCCGCTCCAGGAACAGGATCAGGGCCTCACAGATCTGCGGTGGGGGGGAATGCGAGGGACAGAGGGGTTCGTGTGACTTCCAACGAGCAAACGTCGCTGAGCACGGGTGGACAGCGTAGCCTGCGAGTCCTTGCTTGATGCCAGCATGCAAACCCCACAACCCCTGCAAAACATGCCAGGCCTTGGCCCCACCGTGGCCTTAACGACGTCCAGCACGCTCTGTTTCTCTGGATCCTTCTCCGCCACGCCCGGAGCCTCCAGTACCAGCAGCCCATGGAACTCCGACATCCACCCGTCCAGCGTCTCTTCAAAGGCCTGCAGGGGAGGAAGGGAGGGGAGGGGATGGTGGGGATGGAGAATCCAATCACGAGCTCAGAGATGGCATTCGTCTGACCCAGCGACCCAGCCAGGAGGTGCGCACCGGCAGGCGCCTTCAGGCATTCCCCACCCGACCCCTCACACTCCAAAGAAAGAATGTAACCCTCGAACACACGCCCCCCCGGGCCCCCCAAACACCAACACCCCCACCTCTGTGAGGCCCGGGGAGTTGAGGGAGTAGAAGATGGACACCACCAGCTGGATGTTGGAGAGGAGGAGGGCCTGCGCGGGCGGGTCCGCCGCTCTCTCGGCGATGCGCGGGGTCAGGCGGCGCAGCGTGGCCAGCAGGGGCGCCACCACCTGCTGGCTGTAATCCAGCTCGGCGGACAGGGCGTCAGTCATGAACTGGGCGCGGTAGCGCTGGTAGATGGAGTCGGCGGTGGCCAGCACACCCGCCAGGCGGACCTCGTCCGCGCTTTCCAGTCGCTCCAGGAGCCCGGGCAGCAGCGCCGGCCAGCGCGCGGGGAAGTCGTGGCTGGAGATGATGGACAACGCTTCGCTGAGCTGGGACCGCACCCGCACCGGCGCGGCCAGCATCAGGTCGGTGATGTGGACCTTGATTTGATCCTGGGGTCCGGGGGAGGAGGGGTTGGGTGGGGAAGGGGGTACGTCTCAGGGGGGGGTGGCTGCAAGAGTATCATGGTCACAGAGGATGCCGGCACGTGCAAACTGACAGCAGGAATCACTTCAGGAGCTTGAGCAGGCGGGGCGGTAGCTTGGCAGGCATGCCCGCAGTGATGCAACGGCACAGTGATGCTGCGCCTTGGAGTCGCATATACTTCCTTAGCATCCAGGCTGCTCAACTCTCGTCTGCTGTACTGCTAAATCGCTCCCCACCCTCCGCCACCTACTTCAGCCCTCACCTTTTCACCCTCCGGAATGGCGAGGGGGGTGCTGCCTGACAGACCGTCGGCGGCCCGCGGCGACCAGCTGTACTTGACATAGTTTTTGAACCCTACTGCGGCTGCTTGGCGGACCTCCACGGCCACTGACTCGGCAGAGATGAGCTGCGATGAGGGATGGTGAGGAGGGGAGGGGATTTGGCAAGCTGGGATGCATTAAATGGCGCAACCTTCCGACTGCTAGATGAATTTCCAGACTGAGCCATGGACTCGTGGGCGATGCACCTGCAGGACGGCGATTCCATAGCCGGGCTGCTGCGCAGCGGTCTTCAGGTACGCCTCCGCCTGCTTGATCAGTTCCTACGGTGCCACGGGGGGAAGGTTGGATCGTAGTCTAGCAATGCTCTACTTGCGTCAAAGAGATCCTAGAGTCCAGATCGGTGCTCGAATCCCCGACAGTCTCACAGGATTGGGGGCCAAGGTCTGCAGGAAGGCCTCGTGCAGAGCCTGCGCCGGCCCGACCAACTGTGACATTCGGCTGGTCGATCCACGCTCTCATGCAACACGCATTCTTGGCTATAACGCTGTTAATCTACGTGATACGATAGGACTGCGTGCACGATCCACCCCATCAGCCTTGAAACAGGGCGCGCCATGTCCTCGCTTTCTCGATCACTTGCCTTTGGTAGAATTCATTCAGCTTCACCATCTCCAGACAATACCAAAAGCGCAGTCCAACGCCAGCCGAGCCGACCCTTCTCAAGCAAAGAACGAAACGTACGATGTATCTCGAATGGGCCCCGACGATTCCCCCTGCTAGGCAGAATGCGTACTCGTCACCTTGCGGGGCCTTGCAGTGGCCAGCCAGGATGCGGACACATCATAGGAGCCAGAATGTTTTATGTCAACATCATACAAACGCAGATTGTCGATTGTACGGGCAATGGAAACGACGTAGGCATGCCTTGGTGTTGCCCGGTGTCTCCCAGTGGGCCCCAGGTGGCCATGGAGAACTCCTCATAGAGGTCGACCTCCCTAGACCTCAGTTGTACCCTCCCCCAAAACTGCCTGCCTGGGTTCTGGTCTGATTTTCTACAAACATGGGATTCACAGCAGGTATGAGGTCAACTTGGCCCGTGTCCCCCCTGCTGAAACAGTGTGGCGCATCATTGCCACCCCCCTCCTCATGGTTGCCTATGTTTTGTGCTCTACCCTTGGCGTGCCACTCAGTGGTAATGTCTCAGCCGACCAAGCTGGCAGCAAAGCCAGGATAACCTTCCTCAGGGCCTTGGAGGGTGGGGCGCGCTCCCCTCGTCCTCCATTCTCCGAAATCAGGGGAATTCTGGTCGCCAGCCTCCCGAGTGCTCCCCTAAGCCCTGGCTTGTCCTCTCACCATATGGCTGGGTTGGCCTATGATGCTCAGTAGAGACTGGAGCAGGCCAGAATATGGGATGCTTACCCGGGAGTTTTGGCAGGTTGAGTACAGAAACTCCTTTGTATGCCCAGATGAACGACAGAATTGGGTAAAATGATGTGAGAAACTTCTATGAATAAAATATTGCTAGCTCCCTGACAGCCTGAAGACGCTTTAGACAGAGTTTTGCATGCGAAGGAAAGATATTTCTGTAAGTTTGTCAATTCCACGCTTTTGGACTCGAGTCTTTGAAAGGCAAAAGATCTCATATCGTCAAGGGGACCACCGATTCCTTCTTCCGCATACCAAGTTCTCGCGCTTCATTTCTCGGTGCACGGCTTTCCTTACGTTTGATATCCACAACCCTCTCAAAGGTACAAGCCGTTCTGTCATAGAAGATGCAGCATGCTGTTGGAAACCGTACGCTGGCATGGCCGGGTGCTCCGAAGCTCTCGCCCCAAAACCGGCGCCCGCATCCCATCATGCAAGCCTTCCCAAACCTAAGGACACTGTTCAAAGGCAACAAGGGTGTTAATATCATGGATTCAAAACAGTCTGTGAGTTTGTGAAGCGTTTTGCTGCTGGCTGCAATGGGTCCACGTAGCCCATGGGAGGCGCACGGTCCAGCCACCTTCACGGCGACCCCACCCAATCCATGCACACCTCCAAACGCAGCTCTTGGAGGCTATTGAGCCCCTCCAACGCGGACTGACGGCTACGCCGAGCGATGTAGAGCGCATCGAGGGCCTGGTGGTCGAGTTGGAGGGACGAAACCCCACGGCAGCTCCCGTCAACAGCCCCCTGCTGAATGGACAGTGGGAGCTCCTGTACACCACCTCAGACTCCATCCTTGGAAGGAGTCGCCCGTCCTTCTTGCGACCCAAGGGCCCTATATACCAGACCCTGGGTGCGCATGGGGAGGCCAAGGGGATATCTTGCTAGTCTTTGTATTAAATGGGGGCGACATGGTGTCTTGTGTTGATGTAAGATTACCGCATCCTGCGACACGCAACCTTGTCCACCCCGCCGCATGCAGACAACGAGAGCCTGCGTGGCAAGAACAGAGAGACGACACCCCTTTTCAATGCTGTCGAAGCCGAGCTGGAGCCCATCTCAGACAGCGAGGTGGCTGTGCAGTTCAAGCGCTTCTGGCTGGCTGGCTTCATCCCCGTCCCTGCGCCAGCCAGCGCCAGAGGGAGGCTCGACACCACCTACCTCGATGAAGACCTTCGTATCTCCAGGGGAGACAAGGGCAACCTCTTTGTGCTGCGCATGAATGATAAGAACGCGGTCTTACGCTGACATGTGCCATCTTGCTGTAGCAGCTTTGCATCAGTCAAAGCCTGCGCCCCGCACCTGCGCGCGATATACTAGGAGTGTGTGTTCGAACAATTCGTCCCTTGGGCTGCGCATCCACCTGCAGCCGAATATCCAATTGTTCTCCGACACATCTCTTACCAACGCGTGCTAGCATGGCGTGCTGTGTTCTGTAGGTGCTCCGGGCCCAGTCCCAGGTACCACATGGCCATCACCGACGCTCGCGTGGCTGCGGCGGTCGTGGGCGGCATAGCTCTTGGAATCACGCTGCAGTTCCTCGTAAGTGGGATTCGAGGATGCATGGTATGCCTTCCTGCTCCCAAGCTTGGGAAGTACACCCTGAGCCCCTCTTCCCTGGTCATAGGGCTTGCGGTGTCAGCGGCCACAGGCTCATTTTTTAACCCTGTGCGCCTCCGCAGGGATGCTTGTTGTGGCACAACTGGTGGCCCATGCTCACAGGTGCGTCGGTGTTTGAAGGGGTTATCAGCTAAAAGCCCTCCCCGTGTGAGGGGAGTTTCACTCACCCTTCCAAATCTTCATGCTGGGCAGCCTTCATGTATGTGCTGGTGCCCATGCCCGCCCTCTTCTTCGGCGGCGCCCCCGGGTCCAACCTGGCCAGCTCATGGGTCGACGCGGGCAAGTTCCTGACCGGCTTCTCGGCCGTCGGGTCCGTGGCTATCCCTGCCATCCTGTACCATGCCGGGGTGAGTATGAATGGGGTGTGCAGTTGCGCGAGGGTTCAGCCCCAGGATCAGTCGCTCATCCATTGCAGACCGCACCTTTGCGCCCCCTCAATTTCCTTCCTTCGACGATGCCACCTGTCCCAGAAAATCGTGGGAGGAGCCCTGGTCATGCAGCTGGTGGCTGTGGGGGTGCTGGCCGCCACACTCTTTGCCTGGGACTACATGTCGGAGGTCGACGAGGGCGGTTTCTACTCCTACTGATGCCGAAGCCCGAAGGCTTTTCCACTTGCTCTGCCCTTGCCCTTTGCTCTCCCGTGGCACTGCGTTGCTGACCCCTTGTAATAATGGTTGTTGCCTCGGGTTCCCACCTCACAGGTCTTGCGCCGCCCAAGGGGCAGGGTCACAGGGGAGGCATCGGCTTCCCTCCGGGCCGCCGGTCAGGCCCCAGCCCGGGAACCGAATTGCAGGCACACCGCCACCGCAGCATCCACCACCGTCGTGGCAGCTGGCGCGGTCCCGGCCCGCCCCCCGGCGCCCAGTCTGCTGACCAGGCCCGCTGCGGAGGTTGTGGGAGGGCCGGCGGGGGCACGCCCCACCATCCTGCTGAGCGCGACGAAGCTGGTCGGCGCCGGCTCCTCCCGGGGAACCGCCCCGCCCTGCGCATCGGCGGACGAAGCGGCGGCGGCGCCGTCGTCCTGTTCCCGGCCGAACACGTACGAGCGGGAGGAGGCGCCCATGGATCCGCTGCTGTGCAGCCGCTGCACGGCGGGGCGGCGGCCGAGGAAGGAGGAGGCGCGGGGCGCGGCTGCGCCCGCGGGCGGCGCGCCGCTCGCGCTGGGCGCGCTGCGCGCCAGCGCCTCCAGCAGCATGCGCGACGACTCGTCACTGGCTTGCAGCGCCTCGGGCGAGGCGGGGGCTGGGTGCCCCAATGCAGGCGCCGGTCCCTTGGACCCCGGGAGCAGCCCCGGGAAACCCCCTTCCTCCTCCTCCTCCTCCTCGCCGGGCCCCTGCCCAAAGGCTTCCAGCCACGCCAGGTCAGCACCTAGACCACCTGATCCTCCAGAGGGAGCGCCTTCCTCGTCCAGCCGCACCCGTCGCCTGCCCGTGCCATCGTCCTTCGAGGATCACAGTGGGTGTGAGTGAAAGGGTCTGATGTGGATCTGAGGCTTTCCACAGCATGCTGCAGGGGCACGTCACCCTTGTGCAGGGTGCCGCAGCGCAGCATGCATGCCAAATCGACTCCCCCCTCACCGCCGTGATGCCCACCCCACACCCTGGGAACACTCGGCGCACCTCGTCGTCCCACAGCCCATCCCCTCGCGCCCTCCGGAAACCGCGCCGCAGGCCCCTCAGCACGTCCTGGAGCTCCCTGGCATCCTGCGCCGCCGTCCATTCCTGGTGCAGGCGCTCGCGGGCTGCCGCGTCCCTCTTCCGCTCCCGCTCCTTGCCGATCAGGTCCGCCTGCGCCAATTTCGGGTCGAGGGAGGCGATGGGCCGTTGTTACCACGACCGAAAGGCGCCCCTCCAGCCTACGAGCTGGATGCCAGGCCCCCCTGCTGCCCGGGTGCAAGTCCTGCCAGGCTCCCCCTGCGCCGACTGGCACAGCATGCGCTGCCAACTGGCACAGCATGCGCTGCCGAGTGCGGCAGGCAAGCTGCCACCCCCCTGGCCAGCTGCGCACCAGGTCCCCTCCATCATCAAGGCCGTCGTCCTCGTCGTCGCTGACGCGGATGCCTGCCCCCTCCTCGTCACTGCGACAAAGTGCGGTCGGGTGGTGCGGATGGAGATTGGCAGGCACTGTGACTGCAAGGGTGAGCTGGCGCACCAGTCAGGCGCAAGACGCATGCACAGCTCCTGGTACCCATCTCAATGGGCCATGACCATCTCACGCGTGCAAGAGCACCCTCATGTCTGACTGAACCCGGCCCAAAGCCCCCAACCTGAGCTCAGCCTCCATGTCCAGGAACACCCGCTGCAGTTTCTCGGCGCGACGGGCTGCCTTGGCTGCGAAGGGGAGGGTCGGAACTGGGATTGCTTGGCGGCGGAGCTTGGCAGTCGGAAGGCGTGACATCATGGTGCGGAAATCTTCTGGCGCCGGAACAAGACCCCACGGCCGTTCAGTTCCCAAGCACTCCACATCCCCACGCCACACCTTGGCTGCTGGCTTGCTCCGCTCGAGCCCCTGCCGCCAGCACATCTGCCAGGCTGGGGCTTTCCTGCTGGGCACCTGCGCTGCCAGGGTCATCCCCCGCCGTGCTGGCCGCAGGGGCCTCTGCCGTAGGCGGGGAACTACCTGGGGCGGATCTTGCCCCGTCACTCAAGGCGCTGTCGCTGTCGCCGTCGCCTCCATTCGGGGCCCCTTCGGATCCACCATCATCATCCGAGTCCGACTCCTCGCTCTCGCTCATCAACGCTGCTGATCTGGCATTGGAGTCGGCACTGCCCTCGCGTGCACCAGCTCCCTCGCCGACCAGCACATCCCCATCCTCCAGCTCCTCCTCGCTGTCCACATCATCCTCAAAGTCGTCCAGGTCCTGTCGGGAAGTGGATGCTCGTCAGATAGTGGCACAGTTCAGGCGGCCGAATGGCAGATGAGCGTCAGCCTGCAATGCCAGGCCATCCAAAAGGCCAGGGCCTCTCTGCTCCCAGTGCAGCAAGAAGGGCAGAGGCAAGGTCCACCGGAGGATCAATCAGGAGCAGCCACTTCGCGGCACGTTCCCAGGACCCCTGCACCTGGGCGGAGGGTCGCCGTTGCTTGAGCGTGCTGGGCAGAGCCACGATGTTGCAGGCCTCCTCGCCCTCCTCATCCACCAGCTCGAGGTCAGAGGACGCGGCGCTCTCCGCCGGCGTGGCCGGCTCTGGGGCAAGGGCGCGCTTATCCGCAGCCACAGTTTGTGAGGCTGCAAGGAGGGCCTTGCTCCTCGCAGGCTGTGCAGGCAAGGCCCCAAGGACATCGTCAAATGAGGGAATCAAGGGAGCAGGAGGCTGGGGGGCCCTGAGAGTGCAAGGATGTGAGTAGGGATGGGAAAAGATGCCCTGCAGGCTGCCAGTCACCGAGCCAGGTCCGCAGTCGAGACTGTGGTTGAGCGAGCTGGTGGGGAAGGACCACAGGAACCTCTCTCCCGTCCAGACCCCTTGTCTCCTGCTCACCTGGCCAGAGCGGCCGCCTTTCTCGCCCTCATCCGCTCCAGCGCAGACTGCAGGGGCACGCTGCGATCCTTCTTTCCCCTCTCAACCCCTGCATCCCGGCCCAGACGGTCCCTTGCCGCGCTTTCTGCACAAAGTGATAGGGTGAAGCCTGAGCACAGCATGGGAAGTAGCGACAAGTCAGGCATACAGGTGCAGTCCTCATACGAGCTCCCATCGACATGTGCAGCATCAAGTGTCCCCGACACCTCACCCCTCAATATCCGCTGAGTCTCGGCTGCAGTGTCCTCGTCTCCGATATCCAAACCATCATTTCCACCGAAGAGGGGTCCTGTAGGGTATGCACGAGAGGCAGAATGAGTTGATCACAGGAGTGGGTGGCCGGTCTGTCATAGGGACACTATCTTGGCACGGTGCTTTGTCCACGACTCGATGCCCCAACCTTCAATTATCTGGTTCATCTGCAGACCCTCCTCGTCATCAGAAGACTGAAAATTCTGGTTCAGGTAGTCCTCTAGCTCGTCCTCCTCATCCCAGTATCCCTCATCTGTTGGCTCGCCCCTGGCGGCCTCCTCCGCGTCGGATTGGGCCTCAACCTGAAGAGCAGCAATGTTTATGGGGCTTAGCAGGCGTCCATGCCACGCAGTTGACGTGCATCACATTGGTACCCACCTCACTCACGCTAGGCGCACGGTCCGGAGTCTCCATCGCCACACCGACTTCTTCTGGCATGGTTGGGCTCTTCGGCTCCTTGTGCAGGAAGGTTTGCCCTTCTGGGCGAGTAGCCTCGCAACAGCCCTGGATTCTGTCGCTATTGTGTGCGACATTTTCGTCGTTGGGGATGGTAGCCCTCTCCTTGGCTTTTCGAAGCCTCGACAACTTTTGGGGGCGTACCTCGACCGGACCTTCGACAGAGTGCTCGATCGAGTCCTCTAGAGCTTCCATGCTGTAGGGTACTCACTACAACTCCATGTCGGGCGACTATTGAAACAAATGTCCCATGGACTCGTCTGTACTCTGTGCGATGGGTGTGCAGGTGTCGAAAGCTGGATGCAAATCATACCGCTCCATGTGGGCGCGCGAGATTCAAATTTGCATCGTTCTGTCTGGGGAGACAATTGTTGTGGCTATTGGAACCAGGCGAGTAAAGAAGGAAGTACACACTATTGATGAAGCAATCCCAGCAGCAGCAGGGGCCATGCTCTGCAATTGCCTGCCTGGGATGCCTTTCATTTGATCAATATCCGAAGGGTGGCAGGCAAGCCCGCAAAGCTTTCTGATCACAGCAGACCCAGCGCCGCCAGCTCAGCCAGGCCCTCGTCTCGATCCGGAAGCTCTGTGGCCACGTCTTCCGGCTCCGGCGGCGCCTCCCCCGCGGCATAGTTATGGTACGGCTTTACGTTCGCGTCAAAGCGCCAGCCGTTGTGGCCCGACTGTAGAACCAGCCACTGCGTGTAGCCAGCGTCAGCTGCCAGGGTGGCCGCCCAAGCCGCTCGGGCGTGGCTCCTGCCTGCGACACGCAGGCGTCAGGATTCCGGGGGTTGCGCAGAGTGGCATCTCCATGGCAAGGGGGTGGCAGACCTGGTGGGGCAGCACAGGATGCGCAACTGTGCAGGCAGCGCCCTGCAGGCACGGCAAGCACAGTCCAGCACCCTCCCATCCCCTGCGACGCACTTGCGACCACTACCAAGTCGTGCTGACTTGGCTTCGGGAACCTGTACAGCTCCTCAAACTCTCCTGGCGACAGGTTCAGAGCACTCGGCAGCTCTTCCACTGCGAGTCGGCGGGGCGCACCGTGGGGAGGGCAATGACGTGGCGTGGCAGAGACTTCAGGTTAGTAGGCCAGTGCTGGTCCTCCGCTGCCCCACAGCCTGCCAACCGCGGAAGCCTGTTGCGCCTTCCAAGCGTCACCTCAGCCACACTCCACCCCCCACGAAGCCTGAGACTCCCACCTGGCAGGGCCTGGCTGGTCCGGATGCTGCCGAAGAGGAGGCGCTCCTCCCACCTCCTGACGTCAATGACTGTGACCGGGCACGGGAAGGCCTGACGGGCCCCCTCCCCCATCAGGAGCAGGCCCAGCGCGTCAGCACGCAGGAAGGCGAGGTCTTGCGGCGGCTGGGCCTCCGCCTCCTCGATCTTCGCGAGCGTGCCGGCCAGGGCAAGGGTGCGGTCATACCCGGCGGCCCTGGCCCCGGCCGCGCCCTCTTCCTGCTCGCCGGCTGTGGACCCGAGGAACACCAGGATGTCGGAGGGGGGGGGCCGCCGTGTCGCGCCAAAGGTCTCGGCCCAGCGTTTGGGATGGGAAAGGACCTCCTCCACCTCTCCGGCTGCAAAGGCGGCAAGCAGGGGCCGGACTCAGTTTGGCAGGTGCGTCATGCCAGGCAAACCTCTGCCTCAGCGCACGTACAGAGTGGCGGGACCCACCTGGGATGCACAGGGCGCCCTTCAGCTCCGGCGGGAGGGGGCGGCTTGGATCCTGCCTCACATCAAAGATCAGGTGCGGGCACGCCCCGGTCTCGACCTGCATTTGGAGCCGGGACTGGAGATACATCAGGTTATGGGCTCTAAGCTTTGCATGCAAATTCGGGCTCCCAACAAGACAGGTAGATTGACCAGTGTCTGAATTGGCTCCGCTCCTTCAGCCCACCCACCAGCAGCTTGAGGGCCGCAAGGGAGATGCCGGAGTGAAAGCGCGACAGCACGCGCGGCGACCCAGCCTTGGCGCTCTGAGCGGCGGCCTTGCTCTTGCTGGCCTCCTCCCTCCACCATCGCACCGCCCATGCCAGCAGGGTGAGGGCCAGGGCGCTGGTGAGAGATCCACCAGCATTGGAGATGGAAGGCATGGAGCAGGGGCTTGAGGGGATGGCAGGCGTGGTCAGGACGCCTGTGTTGGGCTGGGGCGAGGCACGGTAGCAGGCCAACACGAGTGGGGTTGCACGCTTCTTTAAAAGAACTATCTGATCAGAGAGGAGTGTCTAAACATCATGTCGAGGGCTCGGCGAATCCATGATCGCCGGGAAGTGCCTATGGTGCAGGAGTTGAAGTGCTTCTTATAACTTGTCAGAGTGGCTGCTCGGCCTCGATCTGACGGGCGTTCCGAAGGCGAGATCGAAAAGTTACAAGCCTGCTTATTTCAAAAATATATCTCGCTTCGAGTCAAGGCATGTGTTGCACTGTTTGTATCCCATGCTCCAGGCCCGCGAGATCGTCAATTCGAAGGCGCGACTGGATCAGTTGCTGCCATTGCGACGTATAGCCAGCAACCTGGCTTTCCAGTCCAATGGTAGGTCTCTGTATTGTCCAGGAGATACAGAGGCTTACCTGGATTGTGGCAAGGTTTGCAGAGAGGTCGACAGGCTGCACAGAATTCTGCGACTTTTGCCAGGCGCCCTGCTTCCATGCTCCCATGATCTTTCCAAACCACCCCTAGGTCTCGATCCAGATAATAGGTTGTGTTCGTATCGCTTAAGCGGGCAGGATGGCGACGGTGCGTGCAGCATACCATGCGGGCACCTGGTATGACGACCGAGCCAGATCCCTGGAGGCTAGCATCAGGAAATGGATGGAGGATGCTTCCCATCCGGACCCCGTCGGCAGCATACGGGCCCTCATCGGGCCCCATGCCGGTTTCACATACTGTGGCCACGTGCTGGCCCATGCCTACAAAGGCATTGATGCCAGCAGCGTGTGAGTAGGCGCCTGGGGGGGTTGGGAGGGGACTGGGGTGGGGCTGAGGATGGATGATTCTGAGTTCGTGCTTCCACCTGATGAACACAGAACTGGACAAAGCATGCGCCCCCATCTGAACTCAATGATCACCCAGGAAGCGTGTATTTGTGATCGGCCCTTCCCATCACTTTTTCTCCCGCCGCTGCCTCCTCTCCCCAGCCACCATTTACAGGCAAGGGCCTCTCGAAGTGCAGGGGGGCAAGATGCGCTTGCTGGGGTTAGCACTGGCTCTAAAGCATCACCTGGGTAGCGAGGCTGGTCTGGACCACTCCCATTGAGAGTATGACATCTGTCAAGCACCTCATCTGCCTATCCCCTTGCCCAGGTCGCCACTGGGGGATGTGCCTGTGGACTCGGGAGTGTATGACCAGCTGAAGGCAAGCGGTGCCTTTGACATTGCGTCTTTGTCCCAAGACGAGGCAAGTGCTGTGCAGTGCAGCGTGCTTTTGAGTCCCGCTCTGCGGAACAGCCGAAACTATCTTTCAGGGTGTGTAGGCTTTGACTTTTCCATAGTGATCAGTATTCTGAGCATGAGTGTCTTGTAGGATTTTGCACAGCTATCATCTCTGACCCACTGCGCACCTGCTGTTCATCCAACAAACAAGCAGGAGGAACATAGCATTGAGATGCACTGCCCCTTCATCCAGCATGTTATGAGGGAACGCAGCTTCACCCTAGTTCCCATCATAGTGGGAGCCCTCAGCCGGCAGAGGTGAGGCAAAATGGAGGACTGAGGGGTTACGGTGCCCAGGTGTGATCACTCCGTACCCATATCCTCTGATATTACGACCGTTTGGTGGATTGCGATGCAGCGGCAGTGGTCGCGTGACGATCGGCCTGTACCCAGGGTGTCTGCCTCTGAGTAGGGGGGGGGGACTGGGGTGGGGCTGAGGATGGATGATTCTGAGTTCGTGCTTCCACCTGATGAACACAGAACTGGACAAAGCATGCGCCCCCATCTGAACTCAATGATCACCCAGGAAGCGTGTATTTGTGATCGGCCCTTCCCATCACTTTTTCTCCCGCCGCTGCCTCCTCTCCCCAGCCACCATTTACAGGCAAGGGCCTCTTGAAGTGCAAGGGGGGCAAGATGCGCTTGCTGGGGTTAGCACTGGCTCTAAATCATCACCTGGGTAGCGAGGCTGGTCTGGACCACTCCCATTGAGAGTATGACATCTGGCAAGCACCTCATCTGCCTATATCCCCTTGCCCAGGTCGCCACTGGGGGATGTGCCTGTGGACTCGGGAGTGTATGACCAGCTGAAGGCAAGCGGTGCCTTTGACATTGCGTCTTTGTCCCAAGACGAGGCAAGTGCTGTGCAGTGCAGCGTGCTTTTGAGTCCCGCTCTGCGGAACAGCCGAAACTATCTTTCAGGGTGTGTAGGCTTTGACTTTTCCATTGTGATCAGTATTCTGAGCATGAGTGTCTTGTAGGATTTTGCACAGCTATCATCTCTGACCCACTGCGCACCTGCTTACAGGCAAGGGCCTCTCGAAGTGCAGGGGGGCAAGATGCGCTTGCTGGGGTTAGCACTGGCTCTAAAGCATCACCTGGGTAGCGAGGCTGGTCTGGACCACTCCCATTGAGAGTATGACATCTGTCAAGCACCTCATCTGCCTATCCCCTTGCCCAGGTCGCCACTGGGGGATGTGCCTGTGGACTCGGGAGTGTATGACCAGCTGAAGGCAAGCGGTGCCTTTGACATCGCGTCTTTGTCCCAAGACGAGGCAAGTGCTGTGCAGTGCAGCGTGCTTTTGAGTCCCGCTCTGCGGAACAGCCGAAACTATCTTTGAGGGTGTGTAGGCTTTGACTTTTCCATAGTGATCAGTATTCTGAGCATGAGTGTCTTGTAGGATTTTGCACAGCTATCATCTCTGACCCACTGCGCACCCGCTGTTCATCCAACAAACAAGCAGGAGGAACATAGCATTGAGATGCACTGCCCCTTCATCCAGCATGTTATGAGGGAACGCAGCTTCACCCTAGTTCCCATCATAGTGGGAGCCCTCAGCCGGCAGAGGTGAGGCAAAATGGAGGACTGAGGGGTTACGGTGCCCAGGTGTGATCACTCCGTACCCATATCCTCTGATATTACGACCGTTTGGTGGATTGCGATGCAGCGGCAGTGGTCGCGTGACGATCGGCCTGTACCCAGGGTGTCTGCCTCACTCGCCCCTTCCCATGCTCTACAGCGAGGCCCAGTATGCCCGCATCCTGGCGCCCTTCCTCCAAGACCCAGGCAACCTCTTTGCCATCTCGTCCGACTTTTGCCACTGGGGCAGCCGCTTCCAGTACACCCGTTACGACCCAACAGATGTGAGGTGGGGGGGGAGTAGTGTTGACAGCAGTGCTCCGTGACGTGGCTTGAGACTGCTGGCTTTGCCGAAGACAGCGGGACCCTTCGCCGCAGCCCAGACATGCCTGCTTCTCATTGGCGGCCGTTGGCCCTTTGTGCTGTGCAGGGCGCCATCCACGAGAGCATCAAGGCTCTGGATGCCAGGGGCATGGCCGCCATCGCGAGCGGGGACGCTCAACGCTTTGCCGACTACCTTCAGGAAACGGGGAACACCATCTGCGGACGGCATGCCATCGCCATCCTGCTGCAGGTGCAGCTGTTAGTCGATGGGTGGAGGGTCTGGTGACGGACAAAAGTGCCTTGCTGGTCCACGAGCTTGCCCTCCCGCCCCACTGTCCACCCAATCTCAACAAGGTCCTCCACTTTGTCACAGGCGCTGGCCATCGCAGACCTCAAGCCCACGATCGCTTTCAACAAGTACGACCAGTCCTCGGCCTGCACACGCCCCTCGCACTCCAGCGTCAGCTACGCGTCAGGCATCGTATGCACCACGTCCTGATGCGGGGCAGCGTCTCGCGCAAGGACGCTGCGCCGCTGAGTGAGTTGCTCGTGTGGCGTCATTCCCGGGGCAACCCATCCCATTCATCAATTTCCCTTGGCAGCCCCACAGCATGCCCTGTACCACCCCGAAATGTACCTTCCCATACCAGTTGCCATTCCTCCAACTGTCCAGTGCACTGACAGCAGTGCAGATTGGTGCAAAAATGTCGAGCTTCGCAGGACAGAGTAAGGGGAGCTCAGCCGGCATGGTGTCATCGCTTCTTCTTCCCGCCACCCTTCTTTGCAGACACCTGCTGCTTGCTGCCGGACGCGCTGCTCCCCACCGCTGCGGCCGCGGCGGCCGCCGCTGCGGCCGCCCCTCCTGCAGGCTGCTTGGGCCTGTTCACCCTGGCTGGGTGGCGAGGCAGGAGGGCTGCTATCTCACGCAGGAGCTTGCTCCTGCTTGTGACAGCGGGGTTGAGCGGCTTGCCGTCGGGGCCCCGCAGGGCCACCCGCACCCTGCCCCTCAGCAGCGCCTCTCGCGGATAGGCTTTGTTCTGCAATGTGCAGGTTGTTGTTTTGAGGGAGGCGATGCCAGAGACGACAGGTACCTCAAGGGCGAGCCTAAACACTGTTGGGGCTTTCTGGATGAGACCTTCTTCATCTCTCACAGCTCTATGAGGGGCCATCCTCACCTCAAGTTCTGCTGGCAACTTCAGTCCATTCACTATGCAGTCGTATATCTCAGGGGCGGTTGGGTCTTCAGCTCCTGGATCGGGCAAGACATCACCCAAATGGGGCGGTCAGCCAAGCTGGGCTCTGCGGCATCTGGCTTGATGCATGCAGCGCGCGCATCTGTACACCAGCATACTCAAGCGCCCCACCTGGCACCCGTGGGACACGCCGACCCTCTGCCACCGTCCTCCCGGCGTTGACATAGTTGGGGTAGACGATCACCCTCTGCAGTTAGCGTTCGAGGGTGGGATCGAGCAGGCCAGGCACACAGAGATTGCTGCTGTAGTGCTCATCAGTGTGCCCAGCAGTTTACCTTGTCATGCTCGAAGCTCATGACCTGCTGATTCCTCGCCTATGCAACACCGCTTCGTCCGGGCCTGTCACACTTCCTCCGACACCTCGACAGAGACCGTATCTGCTGATAGTTGAGGGTGCCCGATATCGTCGAAACACGCCCTGAGTACAGTGGAACTCTCGAATGCTGTATCCTTTCTCTAACCCCCGCGATGCTGAGTTCGCCAGCTCCCGAATCACGCATTTCACACCCTGTCCAAATCCGTAGGCAAGACAATTGACGATGCGCGTGCCTGCATGCATGATTCTGTAATAAAGGGAAATCCCCTTCTGCCGTGATCATGAGCTACGACTTCTTTGAGTCCATGTTTGCGGGCAGGGACGGGGAGGGGTGAGTGTCGGAGCGTGGGCGCTGTGCATCCTTTCAACCTCGACCATGTTGCCTTCTATGCGACTGACCCTTTATAATCACTCCAAGCAAACAAACACAACCTCCATGTCACAGCTCGGGCCGTGGCCTGGTGGTGAGCATCACGAGGGAGCGAAACACATGGGTGGCCTTGCCGGCCTCCCTGGTGACCACCCTGTACACATCGGGCGCCGGGCTGCCCCTGCCCCTCACCCTCTTCCGCCCGGGCAAGACCCCCCTCGCCGTGGCCTGGGCCGGGGAGGCGTGCGAGGCCGGCAAGCTGGGGGTGCCGGCGGGCCTCGCCGGTGCACTGGGACTCAAGGCGGGCGATCAGGTGGAGGTGACAGCCAGCCCCGGGGTCCCCGTGGCAGAGTCTGTCAGCGTGGAGCCCGCGAACGCGGACGACTGGGAGGTGGTGGAGCTGAATGCCGCCTTCCTGGAGGACCACGTCCTGTCTCAGGCGGGCAGATGTGTGGGGTGTTGAGGGGGGGGTGGGCTGTCGTGGTTTGTGGAGCAGATGAACTGCCGCTGCGACCTTCAATCGAGGGACTGGTCAAGCTCCAGACGAACGGGCACTGATGCCTCACGATCATCCAGCAGAGCCGTGCCCATGCTCGTTTCCAGGACTGACTGATCCACGCCCAGTCGCCACACCTTCCTCCTCCCAGGTGGCGGTGGTGGCGCTGGATCAGCCGCTGCCCTTCTGGATTCACTCTCAGCTGGTGAAGCTGCGAGTGGTGGCCACCGTCCCCTCTGGGCCCCACGTGCTGCGGCTGCAGAGCGGCAGCGAGATCTACGTGGCGCCGCGCCTGCGCCACGGCCGCCAGGCCCCCTGCGCGGCACGGCGCGGCGGCGACGGAGCGCCTGCGCCGGCCGCGCCAGCCACCTCCGCCGTCTGGCGCGTGCTGGTGAGGGGGCCAGAGGGCGACGCTCTCGCCGTCCCAGGCCCGCTTGGTGGCGTGAATGCGCCTGCCATCGTCGCTGCCGCCGCCGCGGGCGCCGGTGATCCGCTCGACGCCCCGGCCCTCGTCTCCCGGGCGACGCTGGTGGCGGCCCTGAGGCAGACCGAGGGGATTGACGGCGAGGACGACCTCTCCGTGAAGGCCAGGTTCCAGTCCTGCGCCGTGCCCACCACCAGGTGGGGTGGGGTGTGCATGAGCGGTCCTTGGGGTGAGCCCTGTTTCCTGCATGCCTGATCCCCAGTCTTGGGGTATCACAGCCCGGCTTCCGCTCGATCTCATGCTGCGCTGGGATGGACTGTTGCAAGGCCTGATGAGCACACGGCATCCCCACCACGCACCACACCTCGCCACCACAGTCCCTGGACGCGCGAGGTGACCCTGCGCTGCTCGGACGGGGTGCCCTGCGGGCACGTCACCCTGGACGCCGAGGCCTCGCGCCGGCTGGGCCTCCCCCGCTTCTCCCACGTGCGCGTCAGCCTGGGCAACCCCGAGCTGGCCAGCGCCTTTCTCGGGGCCCCAGACACAGCCGGCGCTGCTGCTGCCTCGGGGGCCGCGACCACTTCTGACCGGCCCAGCAGAGATGCCGGCCGCGAGACTGGCGCCCCGGCGTCGCTCCCCACGACCTCTGGCATCACCGGCAGTGGCCTGGGCGCGGCTCCGTCCGTTCCGGCCACTCACCCCGACGCCCTGGCCTGGCTGCGGCCGGGCGCGGAGGCCGCGCTGCGCGCCCTGTTGCCCGTGCTCTCCATACAGGCGCACGCCGCGCTCTGCGCGCAGGGGCTGCCCCGCCCCGGCGGCGTGGTGATTTCCGCGCCGGGCGGCGCGGGCTCGCGCGAGCTGGTGTGCGCGCTGGCGGCTCGGCTGGCGGCCTGCCCCGACACGCTCACACACACTGTGGTGGTCGGCTGCGGGGAGGAGGGCGCGGAGCGCGCGCTGCGCCGCGGCGTCAGCGAGGCCCTGCGCCGCGCGCCGGCGCTGCTGGTGCTCCAGGACCTGGACGCCCTGTGCCCCGCGCCGGCGCCCG